TATTTTCAACGAGGCCAAGAAGGCTCTGTTTATAAAAAAATGCAAACGTGCATTCAGTGTTCATATATTGCCGTTCGCAGTGGAAGTTTCAAAGATAATCCTGGCAAATTTCTCTAATTCTGTTGCTTTGATTTTTACTGTTTTAAGTCGGATTCTCTTGAAAACGTTGTGTTATGCATGAAAATATTCAGTGGAAGTTTCAAAGATAATCCTGGCAAATTTCTCTACTTCTGTTGCTTTGATTTTTACTGTTTTAAGTCGGATTCTCTTGAAAACGTTGTGTTATGCATGAAAATATTCAAGTTCCCCTGTACCATTCCATGACTAAACCTTGTGAAGATGTACCATTTGTCAATGTTAAATATTTTATACTTACTAAATGCATCATCTAGTTTTATGGAGATTCAATAACATTTCTTATTTTATGAAATATATTAGTTGGAATCCTGCTGGAGCTATTCGAGCTGGAAGCAATCCGGCTACATATAGATATGAAGGAGAAACGGTGAAAGTTGAAGGTAACCTGTTAACACTATGGGAAAAGGTTCAGATAACAAGAATGTGTTGCACTCTGCACTTAATTTATTATTTCTTGCACACAAGATATGCCTTATGCTTATTGAGTACAAAACTTATAGAGCTTATAAGTCTTTAGATTAGATAATTACCATTTATTTTATTTTGTTTCAAAGTTATGATGTTATGATATATTAGACATTAAACCTTTTTTTTTTTCTTTTTTTCATTAATACTTCTTGATGAGAAAATTTACTCAAGCAGTGAAACTTGCAGGAAAGGATCTTTACGACTCTGCTGTGAGACTACGCTTACCTGACCTTCCAGCGTTTGCTTTGGAATGTATTCCAAATCGCAATTCCTTAATTTATGGAGATGTATATGGCATTGGGCATAAGGCATCGACCATATTTCGTGGAACCCTACGTTATGAAGGCATGTTCTCTTTTGGCTTTTAAACATGTTTTCCTGAGGAGTCCCACTCAAAACCTTGTTTTACACATGATTTTCTCGAAGAAATCTGGTTAATTATGAGTTCTAAGCTGAGTATAAATTTAAATATTATGGCTTTTCTTTTTCTCTGTCTTGATACATTGATCTTGTAACTGAAGACAAGACAACAGTTCTATATGAAAATCAACTGTTACATTTTCCATTCGTTTGGAGAAAGTTGCAGTCAGTAGGCTTTGTTTAGTTTTGTATTATAAGCTCTTTATCAGCAAGTGGCACCTAGGTTTTCTGATTTCAACTTAAGAAATTGTGTTTTTGTAACTCATTTACTGTTAACATGTATAGGATTTAGCAAAGTGATGGGAACCCTGGCAAGAATTGGATTCCTAGACACTGAAGCTCATCCCTTTCTTAGGAATAGGAAGCCACTGTTTCGAGATTTCTTGCTTGAGCTTCTCAAAATTAAAGTAGAATTGAATGACTCCACGATTAGAGAGAAGGACATTAGGGAGAGCATTATTTCTAGTGGACTCTGTAAGGAGCAAGAAACCGCTGTAAGAGTAGCCAAAACAATCGTGTATGCAGCTCTTCCCATTGCTTTTCTGTTCAAAAGATTAATTCTATATTCTGCTTGAGAGGCTAAAAATGACAATGGATATCTACACTTTTCATGAATCAGATTTTTAGGATTTCATGAGCCAACAGAGATTCCTTCATCTTGCCAAAGTGCATTTGACGTTACCTGTCACAGAATGGAAGAACGGTTAGCCTACTTAAAAAATGAGCAGGTACTCTTTCGTTTCCCCTGTTAATGTTCATTCATATTCTAGAATGCTTTACCATGTAAATTTTTTATTAGCGCTACATGGTTTATCTCCTGTATCTTGATGTCAAAAAAGGCAAAGGGGTTTCAGTTCTTTTTTTAGTCAGATTTCAGGTTACAATTAAGGAAAGAGAGTGGAGAAAAAAATCTTTAACAATCCAGTTTCAAAATTGTGAGATGTAATAAAGTTTTACCATTTATTAAATTATTTTATTCAATCTTATTAAAAAAAATACTATAAGATCGCATTGTGGCTGTAAATAGGATATTGAAACCTCACATACACACATTGGGCTTGGAGGATGACCAGTCTTAGAGAAGATATCGTTAAGCTTAATCCTTCTCAAGCTTAATCATATGTAAGAAGGAATAAGGATAAGAAATTAATAAGGGAGAAGGGTGAGTTCCATTTATCGAGTGAGAGACTAGGACAAGTTACATAAAGAGTGTGAGTGACAATCTAGTTGGTTAAATTATTGGTCTACTCTTAACTGATTGCTTTTATGGGAGAGTAGGTAGAGCTCTGAAACTCTGGAACTCTTTGCAATTCACCTTTCTGTTTATAGAGAATGCAATCTAGCCTCTTTCTGTTCTTGTTCTCTTTTCGTCAATTCTGATCGCATAAAGAGAAGATTTCCCCATTCCCTTCTTTGATGATCACTCCCAACTGATGTAGCCTTTGTTGGAAAGATTTTGAAAATAAATGATATCTACTTCAAAGCTTGGGGTTAAGTTTATGATAGCTTTCAATTAAATTGGCGTAGGATTAAAAGAAAGAATGATCTTCTAGTGCGAGATAGAAGTTTGTATTGTCAAGGTTACTTGTGAGGCTGTGGAGTAGATATTTGGTTTAAAAGACATAGGAGAATTTCTTTCGGAGGCCTTTTTTCCTTCAACTCTAGATCATCAATATGTTCTTAAATTTTCATCTACAAAAAGCTGTATATTTATCATACTTCAAATGTTTGTCAATACTTTATAACAAGTTCATTTCTTATGATGATCAGGATATGGTACTTCTACATCATGAGATACAAGTAGAATCGCCAGACGGTCAACGTAAAGAGTGTCGCAAGGCCACGTTTCTAGAATTTGGGAGGATCGAGAATGGAAAGATCACTAGTGCAATGGCTCGTACTGTTGGTATTCCAATAGCTATTGGGGCTTTGGTAACGACTTATACATGTTTTCTTACCATAATCTTGCTTAAAGCTTCAAGCTTTGGTTTAATGTTACTACAATATATTTGTCAATGCAGCTTTTACTGACAAACAAAATCAAGACACGAGGTGTTTTAAGGCCCATTGAATCTGAAGTTTATATTCCAGGTAAGTTCAAACCCGACGAATCATTTCCTTCTAGTTTCAGTTTACATTTCTTAAATCGTTACCACGAAATGCCTGGAAAACAAGCCGTTTGAGTCTTTAACGATAAAAAGTTTGGTTTGGTTATTCATCATCTGATTCGAACATGACTCGAACATAACTCAACAGCCATGCTGCGATTTAAAGATAAATAAAACCAACAAGGCCAATGGAACAAATCGACCAATCAGTCAATGAAGTAGGCTAGAAATTGACATTTTGTAGATCGAACGTGTTTATTTGGAGTGTGGAAGTATGTTTATTTGCTCGAGTGTGGAAGTTTCCCTGAACAATTACTTTAACAACCTACTATCCATCGATCATCAAACTTGCTAACCTATTACCTTTTTTTTTTTTTCATGTTGCAGCCTTGGATCTCTTACAAGCTTATGGTTTCAAACTAACAGAGAAGATTGAATCCTAGCTTGGCTTCTAACACTACTAGAGAAAAGGGATAATGCACTGGGGAAGTAATATATATATATATATAGTTTAAAGATTTGTTATGGCAACCTGTTAATATAAAAACATCTTGATCTAAATCTGAGCAACACGTCAAAAGAAAAATTATATGTGGGGTTAAGATAAAGTCTCATGAACAGTATGAACAAAACCACATCCAAACTTCATGGGTAAATTTTGATGTCCAGCTATGTTGTAATATGTCGTGATATGATACCCTGTAATGATCCTTCGTGTGAAGTTCATACTATACCTATCCTGTAATATCAATATTGTTATTATTATTTCTTTCAATCATGAAGATTTGATTCTTATTTCCTATTTTATTTTGATGTATAAATACACCCATAAAGGTTCAACTTCACTAAGGTTGCAATCAACATATCTATAGATGAAATTATGATGTGGGTTATCAATTTTTACTTAATTTATGGCAGAGAAGCATACTCTATAGTTTGGATAAATTATTTGAGAGGTTGAACAACTTGATGATACAACAAATAATTTAACAAGAATCAAATTGTGAACTAGTTCCGATTGATCCTTTAGATATATTTCTAATATTCAAATCGAAGGCGAGCTATTACCATATATTTTATTTTATTTTTTAACTTTTAAATTTGTAACTATTTTATTGACCATTTAATTCTAAACCCTATTTTCTAAAGCATGTCTGAGAAGATTGATTCAAGAACAAATTTTAGTTTGATTAAGGACTCCATTATAGAATAAAGACCTAACCATTAATCGAGAGGCGATGGGAACGAGGGAACCCGTGAATACATAATATTCTATTGAAAATGAATCCTAATAATTCATTGGGATAACTATTGTATTGGTTTTTGTTTCCCTTGTGATGGACTGAGAAGAGGAGGTACAATTCAATTTCGATAGTAATATTTCATTTCAGTAAAATGCAGTCAGATGTTTGGGGTAGTGAGTGATCAAAGGGTAGTAACTCATATTACGGTCTATTTCTCCAAGCAAAGTTTTTCACATCGCAATGCCGATGTTTGGGGTAGTGTAAGTGATCAAGGGGTAGTAACTCATATTACGGTTTATTTCTCCAAGCAAAGCTTTTTGCATCGCAATGCCTATAGTATATGCTTGCCTATGTTACTGTCTGTTCTTGATTCAACACACTTCCACTTTAGTGTCCGAGTCGTTACTCTTATTTTCAATCGAACCATAGTAATATTTATTATCTCTTCAATGTTTATTTTTACATGGGGTAGTGTAAGTGATCAAGGGATAGTAACTCATATTACGAGAGGAAAAGTTGTGCAGAGTTCGCGATTTCTATTTCTGCCTGCCATCCTTAACAAAATAAAATAATTGTTCATTGAAAGAGTTAGATAAATGGTTGAAAAGTGGGAGGAAAAAAAGAAGATTAACATTTAAAAAGAAATTAAATTATGGGATAATGAAAGTTGGGTTAAGGTTCCTACTACTACTGACTCATATTTGCCAGAATCGAGCAAATAAAACAGCATATTCCTCCTATTTGGCTACCAACTCAATCACTCACACTAGTGTTAAGTAATAATATGTTCTAAAAGCCTAGGAAGAACGAACCCATGAGGTTAACTGCTGCTCCACGTCCTCCCAGTTGTGAACTTTGGTGACCAAGGCAGGCAGATCTTCATACCCAGTCTTGCACCATGGATATGAATTCTCGTAGTCAAAAAGTAGAACTCGAATCCCCGCTTCGGCGCATTCGATTGCGTATCTTGGGTTATCGTCAATTAGCACGCTTGCTCCCAAAGACCTGTCCCAATTCATCACAAATATTGCACCATAGGGAATGTTGTTCTACCAGGGATGGGAAAATAAATGATAAAAGAGAGTGAAGTATTGTTGACATACTTGCATATTTCTGCCTTTGATCTGGACTCTCCATCCAGAGCAAAGTGGTTTCCGAAGTGAATCTCCTGAAACAGTCCCGGATAGTGCCTATCGATCCACTTAAGCGTGTGCTCTTTGATTGCGTTTTGCCGAGACCTAAACTTAGTTCAAATGAGATCAGTTCATTGTCGATTGAGGAATCAATACTGTATCGAATTGATCCAATGTAGCTATACATACGTTACGACTGAAAGATGACAGAATCTCGATAACTTGAGAAGCATACTCTGTGCACCGGGAATAGGCCAGATTCCAGACTGGAAATATGGTGTCTTGAAGAACTCGTGAACTCGAATATTAGCTGTAAAGCAGGAAACAAGTGTCAGAACCAATCAACCAACCAAGTTAAGAAACATATTTCCATGGACAGAAGTATCTCATGAACAGATTCAAGAGCGTAAAGAAAAAGTCAATCCAGAGTTCTCCATGCGTAAAACTCACATCGAATTCCATTAAAGACTCAAAGTTCTCTCAAAGAAGTGCAAATCTACAAAGGAAGTACAAACTGGGAAATATTAAAAGAAGAAGTGCCATACGATTATGTCTGAAACTTTCTAGATCACAAGATTAACTAACAGACTAAAATTGTTGGAGTCAACTTCTGAAATACCAATTCCAGAAATTTTCAAGGGGCTTATCACCATTCTACAGTTACAGGCTTTCTATCACCCAACAGTCTTATACTCCCCAGAGCAAATAAAACACGTTTCCACGAACCTTCGAAAGCGTACGATTAACTAGTTTCAGGTTCCTTTCAACAGTTTCCACAAATTGCAATTGTAAAGAAGTTTTAAGACTGTTACACAGAAATCTCTCAAACCAGTAAACTGAACTGTCTTCTAAAAGCACAAGGTGCGAAGGCCAAATCCAATATCAAAGATTAGACAAAAAAGTGTTAAAGCAAAGAATGAGTTCCAAAAATACCTTCTTAAAGCCATTGGTATATAAATACCTTTTCAATTCTAAAATTTAAACCTTTATATCAAAGCCAATTATGTAACCCAAAAGAGGATCACACTTTGAACATATAAATAACTTGAAACTTTTGTATCACGTATGCTCTAACACGAAGGTAAAATTAGGGGGTTTCCCAATCAGCATAGAATAGTCAAAGTGTGCGCAAGTCGGCTCGAATACTCACAAATATTAAAGGACATGATGCTGGAAGGTCCATCTATTCAACTAAGAAAAGGAAATGAAACCAACCAATTGATGCTTATGCTGCCTAATACATAACATGGTGTCAGTGAACCTACAATTTCAGACTCATTCAACATGGAAAGCTTGGAAATAGTCCAGAATATTTTTAAAGAGATTAAATAAATCAAGATCTCAGAACCACATGCAACAATCAATCAGTCAAATGTATGATTCCAATCAGGAAAAACAATAAGCAATATATAATTAATAAAGCCATCTTGATACAGACGACAAGTCACTAAAAGTCAATCCCAGAAAGCTGTACCTTCATCACGAGAGCAATTCCATATCTGAAACAGAAACGAAAGTCTTAATCAGGCATTCCCAGGACAACTTCAGGACTATTATACTAACAATCAAAAGGAAACCCCAGCAAATAAGACAGAAAATAATCATACCCTGAAGAATTCATAGACGTGATACTCCGAAACCGAATGATTAGAAGAATATTGATCAGCAACGAACTTGTTAAGAGCTGAGACAAAGTTTCCCAAAACTACACAACAACAAAAAGAAACAAGTATTCGATCAGTACTACGAGAATAATCATGTGCAACAATCGATTAGCATCCCCAAATTTTCAGCTCAAATCAAGAACAGGCTAGAATAAGTAGCCATGATCATGCAAAATCATTATCTAATGCAGTGTAGATCAAATTTAATTATGCAAGTCGTCAACAAGTAAATTAATTAATTAATCTAAGTCAACAACTCCATAGATTTAGTCCTTTAGATTATATGAACATACAATATCTCAATTGGGGTTTTCCTGTCACTGTCACATGACACCAAACCCACTAGTAAACAGAGAATTCAGAAGAAGAATAAGAACAAGAACAAGAAAAAGTCCGAGAAACAAAATTAAAATTCAGGGAAAGAGATGAAAGAAAATACAAACCCTCATCGATGTCAACAGCAACAACAAGTTTGTCCCTGGAAGAGAGGTCATGGAACGTTAAAGGATTTCCCCATTGGGTCTCCCCATGAACAGTGGTAGAATATCTGCCATCAATTCCATCTACTAAATCAACCTCGACGTTGTTAAGCACCAGTGGACGACGAACAAGTGTCGGGCCCTTAGCATTGATCCCTAACGAGCTGCTACTGCAATTATCTTTGGGGGATTGACCGCAAGCTTTGAGACCAAATCGAGTGCATCTGTTTCCTCGAAAGCTTCGATCGAACAGCGGTGGCTGAGAAGGACGGATGGATTGCATATGAAGATCAGACGATCGAAGATTCCGCGTCAAGGAATGAGCAGCCATTAATGGAAATCAAGCATAGTACAGTACTCTGTGAAAGGAGCCTCGACGATGTAACATAAATTTCTTCAAAGGGCACTCACATTCCTCCACCGCCACAACAACAATAAACAATTAGTCACGTATTTAAACCCTAAAACAACGGATAAACGCGGCGGAATTAAAAAGATATCGAGAAAAAAAAAACGACAAATCCCTAATGAAACAAAACGACGGAAAGAAATAGTTCGATCACTCAGCCTGGAAATCACGCACACAAATCCAAACACATTTCAATCAAATTTGATAATATAAAGCAAGGAAAAAAGAATATCTCAACTAAACAATGATTCGTGAAAAAATCCATGCAAAAGCCAGAAGCGAACCTGAATCGAGTATCAACCTCGAGAAAGAAAATCAAAACTCCGAACCCTAATGTAAAGGCATAACGAAGATTCCCTCAACTCAAATTGGGAAAAACCGCGCGTCTCGTTCTAATGCTGAAGCAGTCAATTCTTCCCTTATATAAACATCTTCCGTGAACCGAAATGAACAAATTGAAGAAGAAGAAGAAGAATAAAATGAATGGAGTTTGTTGAAATTCAAAATCGAGGCGTCGGTGCAGTCCCCACAACCAAAAAGTTGATGAATTTGTTGTATTTTCCATTCGCAAAGTGAGGGATTTTGATCCTAAGTGCTTTCTTCAACTTTTAGGAATCCCACTTTCATCAAGAAATGGTGTAAAATGGCACAAACATATAATTTTTCCTGCAAATTGCTCAATCTTGGCTCCGGATTTTATTTTATTTTTGTTTCGTGACAAGAAACGCAACCAAAAATGAAAATAGGAGCTTGAACTTCGAAACAAACAAAGAAAATAATTAAACATGGATTTTACCAAAAACAGAAAGGGAATTTTTGTGTGTAGAGAGAAACTTAATGGTATAAAACTCTCTCTCTCAATGTTGCTCTAATTACCATTTGCGTCTAAACTACGTTATCTTTTCCCGATCCCGATCGACAACTTGTGGAGCTCGAGATTTGAACTTTCAATTCATTGGTCGATGATATTTGTTTTACTCGGTTGAACTATGCTTAAGTTAGCAAGAAACAAACGTATTGATGTGCTAGTTCTTACTGTCATGCTTGTTCGAATGTGTGTTGCCTATGGTCGTATACATGTTCAAAACTTAGGTCTTTACTGTTATTGCTATGTAAATACAAGTTTATGACTGTTCGTCAAAGTCATATATACACCCACTAAGGTTAAAATGCTTCAGTATTTTCTATTGAGAAATGTGACTAGTTGTCAATTTTTTCCATTAAAGTCATGATTGTTACTTATTCACTTTTAACTTATAACATTACTTTCTTAAAATTGATTTTCCTCAACATTTTCTAAAACGGCCTCTTTCCCGTTTTTTAAAATATTTTTTTTGAGAAATATGGTTAGAGGTTTGAGCACGCATCGCTCGTGACAACGACGACACAAACTCTAGTTGGCTAACTTACTCGAGGATAAGAGTAAGTGTCATGTAATAGAATTGCAAGTCTGAATTGAGTGCAATTGTGACAAAGTCATGCAATATAATATGAAAATGAATGTAACTTCACAGTAATTGACATAAAGTTCTTTAATGTCGGGAGGTTCAAGTTCTCACCCTCCTCTTTGTACTGAAAAATAAATCACGAAGATTTTACGAGATTTAACAAAATATGAAAAATAAAATAAACTTGAAAACTTTTAAACCTACTTTTGAAAAGAATAAGAGATCAAATATATACCATATAATTTAGCACCAACCATTTACAAATGCTTTTGTTTCCAACTTTATTAGATGGATGAGAGAAAAAGTAGTGAGGGGAAGATAAAAGTAGAGGACAAAAATAAATAAATATATATATATATATAACTAACAATTTGACCACGTCGACTTTCATCCTCGATCCTCAACAGTATTCAAACCAGGAGCGACTTTCATCCTCGTATTCAAATTAGGAGTTTTTAAAAGATTTAATGACTCGAAGAACTTGATGAACCTAACTTCAAATCCATTTTTCTTTTTCTATCTAACGAATATAATGAATAAGTTCAATACACAAATAACTTCTTATCAAAGTATTTCGGTAGAAAAATCGAGCATCTTATCAAATGGGCAAATATTTGAAAGAGGGTCACACCAACCAGCATGTTCATATAGAATCAAAAAAAGCACAAAAGGCTGAGGAGCATCCAAATAAACCCAAAATCATATTTCAGTGGTTGACCAAATGGCCAATTCTGTGTCAGATAAAGAGTTAATATCCCGAAGTCATGGGGTCATGGACCAAAATTTTTGCTTTAATTCCTGAGATCTGATCAACTCTGTGCCATACTTTCGACTAGTTTTATGTAACAATTGACGAAACCTATAATACTCGATCATTGTAAGAAAACTCGTAAAATTTTAATATCCTTAGGTCTAAGTCTATAATACTTGGTAGTTGTAAGAAAACTCGTAAAATTTTAATATCCTTGGGTCTAAGCCTATAATACTCGGTAGTTGTAAGAAAACTCAAATTTTTAATATCCTTAGATCGAAGCTGATTCTTCGATAACGTAAACTACCAGAAACTCGAGAGGGTCACCTTTTTAAGTCCTTTGAATTTTTCACTTGCTCCAATGACCACTAACTCACCTCCCACCCCCAACACCCTTTACAAATCACAGACCTACAAATTAAATTTTGTAACTCGATCCTCTACACCAACCGAAGTAAAACTTGAGATACTGCACACTTGACTTCACAGGTTCTAATTCTCAAAGGAAGCATAAAAACAAACTAAGATCTTACTATGTATATATATATATGTAGAGAGAGATAGACAGTAACCTAAATTTACTTCTACCTATTTTGACAGTTTTTCGACTAAGCTCCCGAACTGCCTCTAAATTAAATACCAAAAACTACCCGAGTTAGGAACAGCACTAACTGTGGAGGATATCTAAAAGGATAATCTAATTTAAAGATTTATGTCTATAATTGCTTAAAAGTTATGTTGAAAGAGAGATTCTACAGAGAAAGCCCAATAATCTGCCATTACCAGTATGAGAATCAAAAAGAGGGGAACAAAAGAAAAAAAAAAGTAAAGCACTCTGGTGCAGAGATTATAGAAGTATTTACTAGAAAAATATGGGTTGTCATCTCCCTGGTTATGTGGATAGTTGCTTCCTCCTTGTTCACTGCCCTCCCATCTTCTCTCGTATCTTATATTGCAAAGAAGCTGGAGCACAATCCAATGGCGTTTCTCCTGTGGCAGTGGCAACAATGAATCATTATGCAATATCTCAGCTTTTCTCTTAGGTAATTATCAAATAGTGTACATGTTATTCGGTCCTATCTTGTACTATACACCGAAAAACCATAAAGCGCTAAATAAGAGCCATTCATCTTGCAAGATCCAGTGACCTTTTCTTTTCGTTTCCTTTTTTAAGAAACGTTGACGAGTAGTTAGTTACCTTGAGCATTTTTGTAGTCCAGGCTAGCCCCGCTTTCAATGAGGGCAAAAACAATATCAGTCTGATTAAAGACCGCCGCCTACATCCAAATGAAAATTGATCGGAATATTATACCTCTAAACCGACATGACTGCTATGTTCTGCTGGGGTGGGGGGGAAGAAAGAGAGATTTTATACCACATGCAGCAAAGACAGTCCTTGTTTGTCATGGTAATTTGCATCTACGCCCTGCCAACATGAAAAGAGTAAATAATTCTATTCCATACTTTGATTTTTATGAAGGAATTTGGTACCTCGCTCAAAAGATTCTTGACAGCAATAGTGTCACCATTCTTGATAGCTTCCCTTAACCCCTGCAAGAAAGTGAAATTCTATAGATGAAGCCGAACTTTAACGCTTTCACAGACACAAAAGGAATATTAAGACGATACAGACTATATACCTCGCCACTTGCTTCATAATTAATCCTCGACTCATCTGCATGATTCCTATATAATAATATAGATTACGACTGCAGATTAAGATCGGACTTATCCTCCAAAATCAATAATGCCAGTGATAAAGAGGGTATATAACCAAGAATGTTAGCAATGAGAAAATATGTCACTTAGACCCAAGTCATACGAACTCGTGAAGGAGTTTGATAAACTTACTTTTCCCATGTACAGGGCCAGAAAGAGAAGACAGACACAAACCAATTAGAATGAAACAGACTGCTAACGTACCGAAGCTTGCTGTTGGAGGTGGATCCTCTATTCCTTAGATTGGAATCAGTCTTCTTTGGTTTTGAATTGTACTGAGTAGAGGTGGAAGCTGTTTTCTTCTGCCACAAGAATTATCAAATTCCATGAGGGGCACAGCTCATAAATGAGTACTAGAAATTACTAATATTAAAACCTGCGAAGGAACTGCTTCGGTTTCCATAGACTGGACTGGAGTCTCACAAATACATAATGGCATTCCACACTTGCAATCTGAAATGCCGAACGCAGGTTGATGCTCCACAGCTGGTTTAGGCTCAGAATTTACATCCCCATCAAGGTTTAGTTTGGAAACTGTGTCTGCGACTTGATCGACTACAGCTAACGATGGTGGTTGACCAACTTCTCTGGATCTGTAATATGGCAGACTCGATAAATTTAGTACGCTAGGTTCAATCTATACATTGAATCATAAATGGACTGACCGGTGCTAAATGCTAGGTTCGATCTCTGCGTAAGATTGAGAGCTCAAAGGATACCTCTGAGACGAGAACAAGAATTTAGGGGGAAACGAGGGAAGACAAGGACTTTCCAAATCTGTATATAATTTTTTATATCTAAATCCAAGAGGAATGAGCTGACGACTGATCTAAGAGCTTTTATGCTTCATCCCACAAGCAATAGCCTTCATATCACACAAATATCCAACTACCTCATCATTGGTGGTTTTGAATTACTTTGAGCCTTTAAAGAGCGTTCAAAAGAATGTTTTAGAATGTAGGTTTCAATTCCACTCATTCATAGAGGATAAAATGATCAGGAGCGAAAAACTTCATCGTCGATGAAATTGGAAACCCACTGCAAATTTTAATGGTGCCTTCACATGAAAGCTAAAAAATAAGAAATAGAATATAGTAAGGTGCAAACTCCATGAACAGCATGCATTGATGTAGGCCCCGTCTTCAACAGAAACAATGACCAGAGATTCTAAGTCCTGAATATCATCCCATAAACAGGTTCGAAAAGTTCAAAATTTCGGGATTCTCGTACAAACCAAAGTCCTTGGTAACAAGAACGCCTGATTCCAGTTGGGATTTTTAAGCTTCTAATCTTCAGTTTTCAAGTTCTATTTATAGGAAAAATAATATAGAACTTGAATCCTCTAACAAGAAATTTCAAGTTCAAGAAGCTACAAGAAACAGTTAAACTTGCATTGAAGAAAATAACGCATAGAATCATTCCATTTCAGTTTGAACTCAGCGCACTTTAATTCTGAGCTTATTATTTATGCAGGATGAAATGAATTATCGAGCAGACGTTAAGAAATACATCCTTTCTTGAATAAATGCTCAAGGAAAAGAAAGTATGACAAAGCGTACGATCAAATTTATACATGACTTACTGAGAGGAGACATTGAAACAGTCACCACAAACTCTAACAGAGGATTGAATACCGAACTGCGGCAAGGCCTGAATTTCCCACAAACAAGAACGTAAATATACCAATCAGATCGCAATAAGTTCCCTATTAAAGCAAGCCATCAACTAGGAAGAGGAACGAATAATACCATTTGAAAAGAAGAATGCTCGCGGCACAACGTCCTTCCACAGCATCGGCAATGATGCTG